CAGAGAATTCATACGGGAGAGAAACCTTATGAATGCAGTGAATGTGGAAAAGCTTTTATAGACAAGTCCCATCTCATTGTCCATCAGAGAACTCATACAGGAGAGAGACCCTATGAATGCAGTGAATGTGGAAAAGCTTTCATACGAAAGGCAATGCTCATTGTCCATCAGAGGACACATACAGGAGAGAAACCCTTTGTATGCCTTGAATGCCAGAAAGCCTTTAGCAGTATGGCAATGCTCAGTAGACATCAGTTGATTCATACAGGAGAGAAACCCCATGGATGCAGTGAATGTGGGAAGGCTTTCCGCCAAAAAAGCCATCTTATTATCCATCAACGATGCCATACTGGAGAGAAACCCTATGGATGCATTCCATGCGGTCAAATCTTCAACCAGAAGTCACAGCTCATTAGACATCAGAGACATCACACAGGAGAGAAACCATATCAGTGCACTCAATGTGGGAAAGACTTTTTTGAGAAATCATACCTCAGTGTCCATCAGAGAAGTCATGCAGGGCAGAAACCTTATCAATGTGGTGAGTGTGGGAAAACTTACTCTGTCAAGTTCTTTCTCACTTCACATGAGGAAATTCATACATGAAAACAATCCCAGAAACACAGCACTGGGAAGACTTTAGTGAGATGCCAGATCTCCCTGAATATAAGAAAATTCACACGAGAGTCACCCTATGAATGCAGGGAAAGTTAAGGTACTTTTCCATTAATTTTGGCCTTTGTAAGTTTCAAAACTTACCCAGAAGAGAAATCTTTTAAATGCAGTGAATATAGGAAAATTATCTACTACCAATGTAGCCTCATATTTCATGAGAAAAAAGGCAGTATGAATGAAAAGTTGAAATCTCTTCTTGAGAAGAGATCCCATTATACATCACACAAAATGAAACCGTTGGGTACAACAAATATTTTTGATAGGCTATCATAGAGTAGTTAGTTTTCACTGTGGAAAAAAATCTCACAAATATTGTGAATTCTTGAATAGCTTCCAAACAAATGAGTTTTCATACCAAGGAATACAGATGGCTGAAGACTTGTGATAAGGGATGCCTCTGGCATGAAGTCCAAACTTATCATGCATCAGATAATATTTTTTTAAGGAGAATTAGTAGAGTGTAATGGTGGGAAAGTTTATTTACATATAAACAACTTTATAATAAAAATTTTGATCATCGCAATACCATGTATTTATAGAAAATGTAACACAAAGTAGTCAGTTAGGAAGAGCAGATAACTTTAGCATGCCAAAGGACACTTTGTTTCATGTTTGAATATATTGTATAGTCAAAGAAGTAAATTAAGAAAGGTCCCAGATGTATGTATTTGCTTTGTGTCTGAGTATTTTTGTAGAACATGTATATGATGATTTTCAAATTTCATAAGGTAATGAAAGTTGTGTACCACGAAATTCTTGTTCCAGTTTGTATGTCTAATATCTACCAAAAATGCCAACATAGTGAAATATATAAATCACAAGGGAAATAATTCAGCTTAACACTAAACAATACTATAACACCATTTACACCTTTTTGGGTTTTGTTTTACTGTTACTGGTATTGTAAATGAATCTGGTACTTTTCAGCCCTTAGGAATGATACATTTTTTTAAAACAAATTATCTTCTGGTTGTCACTCAAAAAACAAAACCCAAAAAAAAGCCCCATTACAAATATTGAGGTTTAAGAGTGATAAGTAATCACAACTCTTCTGTCCCCAAATGAGTTCTGAAAAACTGGAAGCAGCTGCTATTTTCAAATAAATGAAGATTAAAATGTCACTTGTCTTGGTGGTTGTGCTGAAATGGGGAATGAATATGGCTTAGACTTATAGCCAGACGTGCTTGCCACGGCTTTCCTCCATGAAAACCTAGTTTGTTTGTTCCTAGAGCTGCTGTAACAAAGTATACTATTAACTGAACGGGTTAAAACAGCAGAAATTTACTATTGTCTCAGTTCTGGAGGCCAGAAGTCCAAAGTCAGGGTGTCATCAGGGCCATGCTCCCTCTGAAACCTGTTGAAGATTCCTTCCTTGCTTCTTCCTAGCTCCTGGTGATTTATGGGCAACTATTGGCTTTCCTTAGTCTGCAGCTGTATAACTCCAACCTCTGTCTTTGTCATCACATGGCATGCTCCCTGTGTGCCTCTGTGTCTCCACATGGCCAACTTCTAAGAACACCAGTTATTGGATTTGGAGCCCACCCTACTCCAGGAGGAGCTCATCTCAACTAAACTCCATCTATAACAACTCAATTTTCTGAGGTACTAGAAGTTAGGACTTCAACATACTTCTTTTCGGTTGGGGGGAGTGGATACACGATTCATCCAAAACTCCTAGTACAATTGACCCTTGATCATTGCAGGGGTTAGGGGCGCTGTCCCCCTATGCAGTTGGGAATCATTATATAACTTTTCACTCCCCCAAAACTTAACTACTAATAGCTTTCTATTGATTGGAAGCCTTACCAATAACAAACAGTCGATTAACACATATTTTATATGTTATATGTATTATATACTGTATTCTTACAATGAAGCTAGAGAAAAGAAAATGGTATTAAGAAAGTCATATAAGGGGGAATTCCCTGGCGGTCCAGTGGTTAGGACTCGGTGCTTTCATTGCCGTGGGCCCAAGTTCAGTCCCTGGTCAGGGAACTAAGATCCTGCAAGCCACACAGCACGGCCAAAAAGAAAAGGCATAGGGAAGAGAACATACGTTTAAAGTACTGCACTGTATTTATCAATACCATAAGTTTACATCATCTGTTTACAAGCTGAATCATCTGTCAGTATCTACATCAATATTATATTATACAAAACACTGTAGATGTTATATGTATTACTAACACTAAGCATCAAAAATGAAAAAGTAATGTGAAAAAAATCATTTATTTACAGGTATAACAACTCATACATTGATAATGAAGAAGCAGCAATAATACTTTATCGTCTTGGGTACACTCTGTTGTTCAACTGTGTTTTTCCCTCACCTGTTATTTATCCTAGTGTTCATAGGCATACTTTTTTTTTTTTTTTGGTGGGGCATATATCTAGGAGTGGATTTGTTGGGCCATAGAGTGATTTTTAAGACTTTAAAGTGGAAAATGTAAAAATATGCAAGAGTAGAAAGCTTCAAAAATTTTAAACCTTTTGTTGATTTCACTGATTGCCTTTCCTCCCCCCCCAGGAATAGTTTTAATCAAATGTCATATAGTATAATTTCCTCCTTAAATACTTTAATATGTATCTGTAACAGATAAGGATTTTAAAAAGACTATAGTCACCATTATACTCAACAAAATAGACAGTATTTCTTGAATATATTCGGGTTCTCCAGTAGTGTGTGTGTATGTGATTTATTATAAGGTATTGGCTCACATGATTATGGAAGCTGAGAGTGTGGAGGTGGAAAGGGTGAGGAAGACTTCTTTCTGAGAGATTAGTAATTCTGTTAACTGTTCCTGAGAAACACCTCATCAAAAGAACAAAATATTGACAGCTTAACTTGCCCACATCTGCCAATTCAAGACCAGAATAGCCCCAGAGGGCCTTGATATTGGGGACAACAGCCTTTCTGTCAAAGTTTATTTTGCTTGAAGAAGACCATTTGTTCTTGGGTGTGGGCTATAAAGATGTTTCTGTGTTTGCGAGATCTACCATTAATTCTTATTCTATTGTAAAGAGAACATTTATTCAACTGCTAATAATCGGAGGAATCTTGTTGCATATTACAATTACCAGGGAGTTTTGTGAATATATACAGGTTCCTGGGACTTCCTTGGGGGCGCAGTGGTTAAGAATCCGCCTGCCAATGCAGGGGACACGGGTTCGAGCCCTGGTCTGGGAAGATCCCACATGCCGCGGAGCAACTAAGCCCGTGAGCCACAACTACTGAGCCTGTGCTCTAGAGCCTGCGAGCCACAACTACTGAGCCCGTCTGCCACAACTACTGAAGCCCGGGCGCCAAGAGCTCGTGCTCCGCAACAAGAGAAGCCACCGCAATGAGAAGCCCGTGCACCACAGCGAAGAGTAGCCCCCGCTCGCCACAACTAGCGAAAGCCCACCTACAGCAATGAAGATCCAGCATAGCCAAAAATAAAATAAACTTAAAAGAAAAATACAGGACTTCCCTGGTGGCGCAGTGGTTAAAAATCCTCCTGCCAATGCAGGGGACACAGGTTCAAGACCTGGTCTGGGAAGATCCCACATGCCGCGGAGCAACTAAGCCTGTGCGCCACAACTACTGGGCCTGCACTCTAAAGCCCGCGAGCCACAGCTATTGAAGCCTGTGCACCTAGAGCCCGTGCTCCGCAACAAGAGAAGCGACCGCAATAAGCCCGCTCACCGCAGCGAAGAGTAGCCCCCCGGCTCGCCTCAACTAGAGAAAAAGCCCTCGCGCAGCAACGAAGACCCAATGCAGCCAAAAATAAATAAATTTATTTTAAAAAAAACCAAACAGGTTCCTGCATTAAGCACCAGACTTTATTAATCAGATGCCTTGATGCTGCAGTGACCTAACCCATATTTTATTTTATTTTTAATTATTTAATTTTTTTATTGGAGGATAGTTGATTTACAATATTGTGGTCTAACCCATATTTTTAAAAAAATACCTCCCCAAGCGATTCTGTTGGAACAGTATCAGTTGTAGATCCAACATTTGGGAAACAGTTATCTAGATGGTATTTGGAGCTGGGAGGGGCATGAGATGGGAATGTGAGGGGAAAAACACAGTTGAGCAATCCGCAGCGTCCCAAGATTATGAAACATTTACACAGATTTTCTTTTATCTTGTAGCAGTGGTAACTCTTAGGGTGGGATGAAATACCGGAGAGATCTCCAGTCTCTGAAATGTACGTTGTGGAATGAAGGGGACTTCCTGGATTAAAAACAAAACAAAAAGGTTCCTTGGATAAAAACAGCAAGGTCCTACTGGGACGCACAGGGAACTGTATTCAATATTCTGTGATTAA